ATATTTTCACCAAAGCCTTGGATGCAAATCAGTTGGAAAATCTTAGGGGTGAGTTGGAAATTTGAATTATTGAGGAATTATAGCAATTACAGGTATGGAAAAATGCATAAGATATTATGCTTTTTCTTTATGTTCTGAGGCATGATAAGCTTATACAAATTGGTGTTGATAGAAGAGCTGGTGACAACACTAAGGAGTGCAGAAGGATCTTTGGCAATGGCAAGAGGGGGAAGACCACTTGAAGTTGTTGAAGTTGTTGAAGTCTGTTTGTTTCCATATGCTATTGTTTGTTTCTATCTAATTTTATGTGCTTCCATATGTGTTTTATGTTTGTGTGCATTGCGTGCTTCCATTTTTTTACATTTACTCTATTTTTTGTCAATTTTTGACTAAGAAAATGGAGTAAAGTGTTAGTGTTTTTGTTTGTCCCAATATTATGAAACATGTCTTGACATGTTAATTAGCCTGCTGATAGGACCGTGTTACTTCTAAAGAGAGAGTAATGATTATGGTTTCTTGCTAGATGCAACTATTTAGGGGGAGTATGATTGTTTGTCATGCTTGGTTGGAGCTTCTGTTATTGCTGCTACTGTTGATATGGTAGGATGTCTTACCAAGTGTTCTAATATCCTGCCTGTTGGAGCTATATGAAAATCCTGATGTGAGGCTGTTTTATCTTCTACTGATGTCTCTGATATGTGAGCTTGGGTAGTTCATATTTTATATTTTGTATTTTATGGTGATTTGGGTTTTCCCTTTGAGGGAGAGTCTTGATCATATGTGATATGAAGAGTTTGGTTCTGTCTGTGATGCCATACCTCATGTCTGAACATCTGACTTCTGGAGTATTGAAGATCGTGATCTTTAAATGCATGCATTCTCTTATATATGTTTTTGATGTAGTTTGTACAAAGCTTAAATGTTTGCATGTAGCTTGTGATGTGGTTTTATTCCTCTCTCGAGGGTTATTGTGCATTGGTTGTTTTAATCAAAATTTGTCAAATGGGAAGATTGTTAAATTCATGGTTTTAGGTTTGATATAAATTTTGCTTAAACATGGTTCTAGACTGATGTTGATCAAGATGTGACAACATATTGACCAACTGTCATGACAGGTTCTGCTGTCATGCTTATCAGACAAATGTTGAGTTAAATCTCTTGACATCTTGGCCTGTTATGTAGTAGGTGTTGCTTTTATCTATTGACATATTTGATTTGTGTTTAAGAAATACTTTTGGATATATCTCATTGTTCTTCCCAGGTCAAGAAGATTTATTAGGAAAAAGTGAAAATTTGGTTTAGTTTCATTAAAAAGGATCTTGGAGATTTTTTAGGAAACTTTAAAAAGATTTGTTTCTATTTTTATATGAAGATCTCGCATCTAATTTAAAAAATGAATATTAGATTTGATTTCAAGAGTCTAAGCCCATACTACAAGAGTCTATAAATAAGGACTTACTAAACCTAAAATAGCAAGCATTCACATTGAAGAAAATGTGGGTGCATAATAAGAATTAAGGTTTCGAGAGTCTTTTAAGTTCTTTGTATTTTTATTCTTTGTATGTCACTCGTGTATCTTTTGATACATTGAGGTTGACTGATTGTTCTCACCATGAGCTTTTAAGCAAAGAGTTGAGTATTTTTCTTAGTTGAAGCTTTTAAGCAAAAGTAAGTATTGTTTATTTGAAGTGTATTCTTCTATTTGGTTCTTTTGGTCTAGTCAGAAGGTTTGTAACTGTAGATATCACTCTGGTGGTTAGAAGTAAGAGAGGGATCTTATATCTAAAGGTGTCTATGTAGAAGTTGCACAAGGTAATGATTGGGAGAAAATATGTAAACTAGGATTGGTTTAGCTTTGAACTAATACTATCATAGTGAATTTCCTTCTTGACTTGGTATCTCCCAGAGTATGTGACGTTGCACCAAGTTGGGTTAACAATTGATTGTGTTGTTTAATTTTCTGTAATTTATTTTATGTATAATCTCACATTTTATCAAGTTTCTGGCAGTAGATGATGTTATAACATTTGTCCTGACATTGTGTTTTATGTTAAGACATCAGTCTTAACATCTATATTGTAAGTGCTAGAATTTCACGTACCTTACAGTGCAACATATATCACTTAAATGCATATAACCTTATAGTGTTATTTATTCCACTTATATATAATGCACCTTACATTGTAATGTATTCCACTCAAGTACAACGTAAATTATGTTATTACTTATTTTATTTTAAGTACATTGTACCTTGTAGTGTTTTGTATTTCATTTAAAAACAATGTACCTTCAACGCACCATATTTCTCTAACTAACGTTAGTACATTGCAAGACTGCACAATCGAATAACTTTCACATATTTATTTTATCTCTCATTAATTGGTCCTTATGCGTGAAACATTATATGTTCTAATTATGTTGAAAATTATATTAAATAATATATTTAATATAATAAAAAGTGAGCAATATCTAACAATACACCATTGTCATCCAAGTCATGAAAATGTCATGTGATCTGACAAAAAATTTCTGTCATAAAGTTCATGTGTACAATTATCCTTTCCCTAATGTCTATGTAAAACACAAATTGTGTCACCCTTGTTTAGTTTAATATTTAGCTCTTAGACATTTATCCTGTTACACAGGATGAGAATATTCCATCGAAGTTACTCATGTCACTCAAGATGATTTCTAGAGTACCCCTAAACCATTGTTATGGTTATCATGTTACGAAAAATATTTGAATGAAAATAAAGTACTTGAATCTACATCTAGAGTCCATATGATTTCATGTCGAATGGCAGTATGCACAAATATCACTTTGAGAATAACTTATAACACTTGTATAAAATTCTATGCAGTACTCTCATGGTGGGTTAATCAGATATAAATATTACTCCCGATATACCTATGCGAAGACTTAATAATTTTGTATTCATGATATGTGAAATGTGATCACCATTCTACTCATATAATAGTCTTAATATTATCATCAGTCTATTCACCTAATATTCATGCCTAGTTGGTTTTGTAGTTTATTTTTTGATTCTTTGAACTTTTCGAAAGACTTAGATTTGTCTTTCATTAAATACACATAACCATATGTATTGTAATCATCAATAAATATACTGAAAGAATTCTTTGAGTAATGTGTTTAGTGGTCCAGATACATTAGTATGTATGAAGGCAAAAAAATCATTAGCCCTTATTTTATATCAATAAGAACTTTTTCATCTTTCCAAATAAACAAGATCTACATGTCTTATATGTTTCATACTCAAAAGAGCCAAAAATACATATTTATAGAGTTTGGAAATGTGTTTCTCATTTATATGGGCTTAACGATAGTGTTAAAGATAAGTTAGATTTAACTCGTTAGAGTTCATCGTTCTAATATTAAGGGTTAAATAAGTTTTTGGTCCCTCTAAATATTTCAAATTTCATTTTTAGTCCCTCTAAATTTTTCCTTCAAAGAATGGTCCTCTTAAAAAATTAAATTTTAAATTTTGGTCCCTCCTGACAATATCGTAGCTAAAATAGTCTCTAATTCCGTCGTTAAATAGAAACCGTCGATAAAACCGTCGCTAATATCGTCGCTAAGTTGTAAAACCGTCGCTAAATTGTAAGAGAGACAAAAAGTTAAAATTTAATTTTTTTAAGAGGACCATTCTTTAAAAAAAAATTTTAGAGAGATTAAAAACGAAATTTGAGATATTTGAAGGGACCAAAAATTTATTTAACCCTAATATTAATGATATAGTTGACATTTCAAGATTAGACATTAAATCTATTTTTCATTTATGTAATAGCATAAAATATATCATTTAAGTTAATAAAACAACAAATATTCTTTATTATAAATTAAAAACTAAACTTGTTCAAACAAAAAATAAAAATAATATTTATACTAGTTAATAATAATAATAATAATAATAATAATAATAATAATAATAATAATAATAATAATAATAATAATAATAATAATAATAATAATAATAATAATAATAATAATAATAATAATAATAATAATAATAATAATAATAATAATAATAATAATAATAATAATAATAATAATAATAATAATAATAATAATAATAATAATAATAATAATAATAATAATAATAATAATAATAATAATAATAATAATAATAATAATAATAATAATAATAATAATAATAATAATAATAATAATAATAATAATAATAATAATAATAATAATAATAATAATAATAATAATAATAATAATAATAATAATAATAATAATAATAATAATAATAATAATAATAGTTATCTAACTAAATTATTAAATCATTAAGTAAAGTTAATAGGTAAATTCCTAACTAAAGCAATAATTTTTGCTCAATTGCCAACTCTTAATTAACTTCACCATTTATCAATTCTCCACTCCTCTTGAAATAAACTATTTGTAATCCAAATCAACAATGTTTCATAACCAAAAAAATGTGTTATTCCATGCTAAGAATTTCCTTAATTAGTAACATAACACTAGAAAGAATATCACGTGGAAGCGCAAAGGATATGACCAGTTCTTCCATAGTTCCATCCACTTGAAAAAAGTGGTCAAATTAAGAACGATATGTTACGTTACTTACCACGCCATATTGCCACGTGGACGATATTACAAACACGCAAAGCCGCCTTACTCTCTCTCTCTCCCTCCTTCCTCGTTCCCATTCACTTGTCAACTTGTTTGTCACATCTTCAACTCAAAGCAATTTACCTTTTCAAAAACAAAATATTCAAGGTCCAATTAATCTTTCTTTGAGTATTATATATAAAAATTAACCGTCCTTTTTACTTCTTCACCCCCTTCATTCAACCAAAAAAACAAGAAGAAGGAGTTAAAAAATGACCCGCGTAGATTATGACCCTTTCAAACATGATAATATATACACCACTCCAACACTCGTTCTTCTTCTTCTTCGTGTTGTTATTATCATTCATTCTCTGTGTAGAAAATTAAACCCCTGAACGAACCTATGGGTTTCAATGTTAAAACTAATAGCTATAACTATGGAAATGCAGGCTTGGATCCTCAATTGGCAGCTGAAAAAGCTGTCAGTGTTATCGGTCAAGGATATGATCTACGCAACGATATCAAATTTTCTGCTTGCAAGTCAAAGAGGTTGATCCAAATTCCAAATAGTAGTTCACACACAAGAGACCTTGTGTTTCCTTCTGGTGTTGTTGTCCCAAATGTTCCTTTGTCTATCAAGTCTGATAAAGGAGATTGCACGAGGTTTCGTTCTGATGTACTTACTTTCAATCAGGTAGGTCATCGCGATCACAACCTATTTTGATTCAATAGGATTGTTCTCTTTTTCAACTATTTGATTCAAGTGAAACCAGATTGTTTTAAAGATTTCACTAGATTCTTTGTTTTTATGTTATTTTAAGAGTTGAATTGAATCAGTAGATATAATTGAATTCTTTGATCATTTGTTTCCACTTGAAAATTGTTGCAAATTTTTGAGGTTAAGTTATGTTTCTGAAATTCCTTTTAACCATTTGACTTTTGAAGATTAAAATGAGGAAGACTGAATTTCGATGAATTTGGACTATTGCAGATGTCTGAGCATTTCAACCGACAACTATCTTTGTCGGGAAAGATTCCGTCTGGCCAATTCAACAAAATGCTTGACATGAGAAAATGTTGGTCTAGGGATGCAGCTTCAACTAAAAGCATTGCGTTAGATGGATGGTTCATAACGTTGTATACCGTTGAATTAGATAGAACTAATATTTCTCTCTCTGAAAATGTGAAAAACGAAGTGCCGTCTTCGTGGAACCCGGCTGCTCTTGCTGAGTAAGTATTAATATTGTTATTCTTCATTCTCTTTTTGTTATTTGCCATGATGAAATACTGCATAACTTTGATTTTTATGAATGAACTATTATTACTTTGACTACAAGTTTCTTGCGGTATCATTCAACTTAGAGTTTGCTTAGACTTGAGTTAACAGTGTTTCAAACTAAACATGACTCGTCAGGTTCATTGAAAACTATGGTACTCATGTAGTTGTTGGGGTAAAGATGGGAGGCAAGGATGTGGTTCATATCAAGCAGTCGAAAAATTCAGATGTTCAGCCAACGGAACTGCAGAAATTGCTTAAGCAATTAGCTGATGAGAGATTTTCTGCGGATTCAAGTCAAAGTTCTAATGTCAATTCTGCAGCAATATCAGGAAAAATATGGGTAAAAATAAATGAATAAACAAATATGCCAGTCTTTCTTGAACATGAAGATAAAAATATGGAAATGGAAATCTAAAATTTTTTACTTATGTAAACATATCTTCGGCCGTGTTTGCAGGATGATCATGCGAAGCTTAGGGGACAGAACAGGCACAAACCTCCATTGCTTGTTGGCAGGCCAGTTGTAAAAAGTCACTCCAAGAATGACGTTAGTATATTTTTTTCTTCCTTTTCTGTTATATGTTTTTACAAGATTACTTTATCGGTTGCACCTTGTAGCTATTTTGCATCTAATAAATACTTGAACTTATTTTATGAATTTCTTTTTCAGGATATAGTAAGCATTTCGGTTCGAAGAGGAGGTACCGATATAGGTCAACCTTATAACCAGTGGCTCTCAACCATATCACAATCTCCTAACGTCATATCAATGTCTTTGGTGCCTATTACTTCACTACTGAATTCTGTTCCAGGAAATGGATTTTTAAGTCATGCAGTGAATTTGTATCTTAGATGTGAGTAAACAGATACCTGCAACTTAAGTTTCCCTCTGTCCAATTATTATCATTTTTCTTCTGGAGTTTTTTTCTTTGTTGGTACATTTGTTTAAAATTTTTCTGTCTCAAACAGATAAACCTCCAATCGAAGAACTTCATCAATTTCTCGAGTTTCAGTTGCCACGACAGTGGGCACCAATGTATGGTGATTTGCCTCTTGTATTCGATCATAAATATAAAAGGAATGCATCACCATCGCTTCAGTTCACTCTCATGGGACCCAAACTTTATGTTAATACAGTGAAGGTAATTCCTTCTTCCAAGTTCCAATACTCTTTAATAGTTAGAAGAAGTTTAAAAACCTGCCCCAACTTTACCTGTCCTCTAATTGCTCATATTAGACATTTTTTCAATAAGCAGGTTGAGTCTGGAAATCGGCCTGTAACAGGTATTCGATTGTACTTAGAAGGAAAGAAAAATGACCACCTATCAATCCATCTCCAGCATCTTTCAGAGGTTCCAGGTGTCCTTGAAATTTCAGAAGATAACAGTTATGACCCTGTCGACAAACCAGACGACCGAGGCTACTACGAACCAGTGAAGTGGAGCATGTTTTCTCATGTCTACACAGCGCCTGTACAATACAATAGCTCAACAATGGATGAGTCCACAGCTATTGTGACAAAGGCTTGGTTCGAGGTTAAGCTAATGGGAATGAAGAAAGTTCTTTTCTTAAGGCTTGGATTCTCAACAGTAGCTACAGCGAAAATTCGCAGATCAGAATGGGATGGACCTTCAACCTCATCTAGAAAGTCGGGATTTTTCTCAGCATTGATGAGTTCAAAGCTTAGCAAAGAGTTGCAGTCACCAGAGAAACAGACTAAAGTTGACATAAACTCGGCAATTTATAATGCTGGTCCGCCTGTTCCTACAAGGACTCCCAAAATGCTTAGCTTTGTGGACACAAAGGAAAAGGTAAGAGGTCCAGAGGATCCACCTGGATATTGGGTTGTCACTGGTGCAAAGCTATGTGTAGAAGATCACAGAATCTCAATCAAGGCAAAATATTCATTGTTGACTATATTGTCCGAAGAATCTATAATGTAGTGAGAGTAAGAATTGATTCGTTAATGTTGTTTTTAGTTAGTTGTACATAATATCGTATCATTTATTTTTATCTAAAAGAAAAGAAAGTATATTTTGTGATTGTCATATTGGCTCAAACTGACTTGAATATGACAAATTCATTGGTTTTTGGAATCCTATATAATGTGCTGATTTTGATTTGGCAAAACTGCCTAATAAAGAATACTATATGTGGAATCTGCAATCAAAGTATTTTATTTTATCTATTTATTTTGTGAATCCTTGCAGAATCAAGAACTGCTCCAAAAGAAATGTTGGTTGGTATCTATTATTCAGGTGTTTTGAATAACATTTGATGGCTTGTTTCTTCCAACTATTAACGATAACATTAGTGATAGATCCAATAAAAAGAATTCGTTAGAGTACAAGGTTTAATTTATGTTTACTTATTGATGGTAGTGCAAACCACTGTATTATGATCATGAAACTTGACTTAAAAATATAGTTACTGAATCAGAAGTTGACTGATGTTTGGAGGCAACTGTTGGGACAAAAGCTTTGACAAATATTTTGTTAGTGCAATTTATCCAATTTTTATTTTTAGGGTCGAGAAATATTTTCGAACTTTCTTAGGGTTTATGAGATATTTTTGAACTTACACATTATCACGAATTGGCAACTGTTGGAACATGTCCATGTTCCATATTGAATTAAAAAAAAAAAAAAAAAAATCCATTTAGTCCCACATTGCTCATGTGAGAAATATTAACCATCTCACTTTACTATATAAGGAAGTCACTTGTTTCCTTAAAAAATACACCAAAAACATTTTATTAGTTTTTCCTTCCTCACTCTCATAACTCTGCGTCTTTCGAATTGTCGAAGCGCCAACGTCTTCCCCTTTCTTTCTACTCGTTGAATTTTCCGAGTATTTTCTTGAATTCTCTTTATAGAGAATAATGTTAATTTCTCCTCGTTTGAGTTGAGAAATTTTCAAGTATAATTTTTTTATTCTCTTTAGAGAATTATTCGAATTTCTCTTTGTTTGAGAAATCTTTGAGTGATCAAAAATGATCATTATTGAATTCTCTTTGAAGAATTATTGAAATTTCTCTTGGTTTGAGAAATATTTATGACTGGTAAATATATTAGATACTACGGTGGTATTTATACCATATTTGAATGGTCTTAGTACCATTAGAGGGTGTATTTCTAGACCGATTATCTATCGTGCAAGTAGTAATCGTATAGTATAGAACTGGGCTGTTTTATCCTGGAGGCGGCGTGGTAGTTCGACTGCTTTGCATAATTTTGGGCAGTACCGCGAAACGTCTTAAAGAGAGCGAACTGATCCGCGACTCAACCCGGTAATTTCTTCAGTGGCAACATTTTTAAAATCATGAACCAACAATTTTAAGACGTTTCAAACTGCCATGGCTATTGAAGAAATTATCGGTACTTCTAAGATTGTCTCGGACAAACCGTTCTAGTTTGAAGGAGTGCATTTCAAAAGTTGGCAACAAAAGTGAGGTTTTTCCAAACCATAAAGAAGTTTGTCAATATTTTGACCGATGACATTCCTACTGTTCCACTTGGATCAGTTGAACAAACGAATAGAAAGAAATCTATGAACTTAGATTGAATTATTAATTTCAATGAATCTGAATTTACAACATAGATTAAAGAGAAGGATTTACAGCTAAAGGAAGAAATCTCCTTATAGAAAGAGAATGATTATAACATTCTAAATGGACTCGCAAATGATCTATATGATTATTACAATAATTGCGATACTCCAAAACAAGTTTACGAGGCTATGAAAAACAAGTATTGAAGAAGCTGGAGAACAAAAGAATGATTTTAGCAACTACGAAAAGTATCAGATGGTAGATGAAAGATCTGTGGATACTCAAAGTTATGAACTTCAAAAAGAATTCTCATGAGGTCATCACTAAAGGTATGTATTTAGATGTATTTTTTAGAATCTGATTATTCTCCTTGAGTTAAAAAAAGAGGAATCTTAGAGACAATATCAAGAAGAAAAGTCTTGGTTGTTTTAAACAACAAATAAAAATTCGGTGTAGTTCTGAAGTGTGATCGGTGGATCTGGAACTGACTGTTTAACGCTGGTTCGCGAAATGTCGCGGAAGCAAGAGTCGCCACCGTCTTTTATTTTCTCCAAATGGAAAGGACAAAAGCACAGAAAAATTCCTTAAAGAGATTGCTCTCGGTTCGGGAGGTAGGTTATAGAAAGGGAAGGTGTTAGCACCCTTTCTATCCATGGTTATCCATGGGCTCTTAGATACTTGCTCAATGTGTTTTCAAAATGTTTGCTTGCTTTTCAATGTGGGTTTTAAAAAGTTTCTTTTGAAAAATTCCAGATCGACTCATACGTCAGAGTGTTTGAAAAGTTTGTTTTGAAAGCTTTTGAAAATGTGTTGGTGAAAAGATGTTTTGATTTGTTTGAAATTAGAGCAAGTATCCTTGAGAACCTACCTACCCTAAGGAATTCGTCTGTGTAAATGTCCTTTAAAGTAGTGACATCCCACCATTGAGAGGTAGGTAGCACCACCGTTGGAGGTGTTCGGGTCAATTCGATTTTTAGGGACATGATGATCACCAGAGCAATGGGAAGACTCCTTAGAAGCTACCCTCATGCCAGGTTCCCGGATCATGAGGACTTACTAAGACGTCCTCTACTCGACGACCACCTTTCGAAAGGCAACAGTGAGGCGTACCCTAGGGGTGGTGTGTGCGAATTGTGTGTCAGTTTCATTGATATTTGTCTTGTCATGTTCATTGTGATCTACGCTTGATTTTATTTTATCCATTCATTCTTGCATGCTTGTTAACAGTTAAAAGTTTTGCGGGAAAAGTAAATCTAAACTATTACAAATGGTGCGGGTCCACATCGCCAAAATTAAACCGGACCCGATTTGACTGAAAAATAAATAAAGCGAGAAATTTAAATTACAATGCTTTGGGAGAGATACAAAATTATAATAAGCAATAAAGTAAATGCGCGAAAGAAAAAAATAATTAAAACAATGGGCGTTGGACCCCTTACAAAAATATTTACAGTTAATGAATTAATTAAGGAGAAATTAGAATTAAAGATTTAAAAGGAATGCTTTTTTTTGGTATTTTTGTATTTTTTAGATTAAATAAGAAAGAGGATTAATTATAATTAAAGTAAAATGTCCAAACCCTAATTCTAATGTTTTCTTTATTTATTATGAAAGAATTAAATTAAAACCTAAATTAAACCCTAAATTATTTATGTACAATTTTTAATTTATGAAAATAAAATAATAAATAAATAATATTGTGAGAAAAAGGAAAAATTAAAAAGATATAAAAATTATCAATTAACCTAATTCTACATTTTTTTGGATTTTTTTAAAAAGGAATTAAAGTTAAAAACTTAATTAAACTAAATAATTTACATATTAATTTGTAAGAAAATAACTATTATTAATTATATTTTCCTTGTCTTTTCTGAATTTTATATTTGCAAAAAAATAATTACTGAGTTAAAATAACAAAATAAATAAAATAATAATTAAAAGGATATAAGGAAAATAATGAAATTAGCAAACCAGGGTGGGGTGTAGCCCCAAAATTGGAGGTCAAATTAGTGGAATCTGGCCCAATAAGCCTGGCCCTCGTTGACTTTGCCAGTTGTGTGCTAACACGTTGACTTGCCTTATAGTGGACCTTCAATCTCAGCCCTTGATCTGTATCCATTAGGCATGTGTACGCTTGGATGAGGGGACATATGGTATGTATGCATTACTGAAGCTGCATGGGATTTGTAAGTGAAAAATAATATGAGATATATACAGACCTGGGACTTGAACCCAGGTCTTGAGGATTAACCATGTCACGTGTTACCAACTGAGCTACTGCATTTCATTTAATATATTATGGTTAAAAAACAACAAAAATCAAAACCAATGCGTAATGGTTAAAACGCGCGCAAATTTCAAACGGACGTATCACTGGCTGCCACGACTTCTTCTTCTTCGCGTATCTGAAAAAATAAAACACAATAGCAACGGTTTTAACGCGTTGCTTTAAGCATGCTATGGGAAAATAGCGAATAGGGCTATGGTGCATATAAATTGATCGCGAGGCTTGAGTTTGTTTCGTCTTGACATGACAAATTAGCCTGTACCAGTTTGGGGATCTAATTTTATGCCTTGCACAAAGCCCCAATTTTGGAACCTTGGAACCCTAGAATCTGTCAATGGTAGAATCTTATACACAACGAAATAATGCAATTAAACGTAATGGTTAGTTTGTAAACTTCATCAGGAACATGAATATATAAACAAAAATGCAAAAAGACGCATGATTTATGATATGCGATTTCAAAAGTTTCGAGGTACAGTCTGAGTTCTTGATACCAATTCAGGGCGTTTTGGTGGTTGATATTGATTGAGATACGTTCAGAATTGTCCCAGGAATCTAATGGAATGGAGGTTGAGGCTTGAATCGTCTCTTAACCTTGAAAACAGTTTTGTGTTTTATGAAAAAAATTTCAATGTGCAAAGCTTGTTTGGGCGCAGCTTTTGTGTGTTTTTTGCATTAGGTTTCTGATCTTGAATATGTATAGAACAATTTAGGTCAAGAAAACTAGACAAAATCCATTGCATTGATGATTTCACATATTTGATTTCTTCATATCTTTTCCAAATCTTTTCCATGTGCATTTTGTGTTCAATCAGCTCAAATCACACCAAAACTTGCCTATTTAAGATATGCACGAAATATTGACCTTGGAATGTGCATAAAAAGATTTTTTTAGGTCAAACTTATATTTTTCATGTATTAAAATAATTTAAATGAATTAATATTAATATAAATTCAAATAAATAATTTAAAAATGAGAAAATACTTCCCTTTGGGCCTAATGGTCGTGCATAGGCTTGGCATGAAGAAACTTGGAGGAAAAATGGGCCCAATAGCAAATTTAGGCCTTTTGAAGTAATGTTGACTTTCAAAAATTTCCAAAAATT